CACTGCAGCTGCACCTCCTGCCACTGTTGTGAGCCCCACTCCCTCTGCCTGAAGTGACTTCCAGGGCATTTAAAGGGTCAGTTCCCCCATTTTCCTTCGTTTTTTGCTTTTTTCCCCTTTCAGAAGCCAGACATTAAAGACTAAGACATTCAAAAATGGCTGCATTTATGAGGAAAATTGGAAAGTGAACACACATGCACAGGGAAATGCTCAGAAAATACCTGGGAAGACCTTACATTTATACCTCAGGCTGATCATTGGTAAGAGACAGCCCCCAACATGCCAAAATAACAACAACAACAACAACAACAACAACAAAAGAGTAAACCTTGAGGAAGGAGGAGAATCTGATTTCCAGAGTCACCACATTATTAGATTCAAATGTCCAGTATTCAACAACAACAACAAAAATCACAAATCATATATAGAAACAGAAACAGAAAAGTATGGCCTTCTCAAGGAAAAAAGATTAGCAAAATATGACCATGAAAAAGACTTACTGGTAGATATAGTAGACAAAAACATTAAAACAACCCTCTCTTAAAGATGCTCAAAAAACTCGGGGCACCTGGGTGGCTCAGTCCATTAAGTGTCTGCCTTCAGCTCAGGTCATGATCCCAGCGTCCTGGGATCGAGCCCCAGGTCAGGCTCCTTGCTTAGTAGGGAGCCTGCTTCTCCCTCTCCCTCTGCCTGCCATTCTCCCTCCTCGTGCACTCTCTCTCTTTTTCTCTCTCTCTCTCTCTGTCAAATAAATAAATAAAATCTCAAAAAAATGCTCAAAAAAACTAAAGAAAGATATGGAGAAAGTCAAGAAAACAATATGTAAACAAAATGAAAATAATAGAGATTAAAAACCTAGACGGAAAAAAAGAAAAAAAAACCTAGAAGGAAATTAAAAAATTCTAGAGCTAAACAGTACAATAACTGAAATGAAAAACTCACTAGAAGGCTTCAAAGGCAGATTTGAGCAGGCAGAAGAATCAGCAACTTGAAGACAAGACAAGAAAAATTCTCGAGTATAAAGAACAAAGTTTGAAGAAAGACGAACAGAGCCTATGGGTCCTGTGGGATACCAGAAAGCCAACCAATGTACACATCATGGAAATCCCAGAAAGAGAGAGAGAGAGAAGGGGGTAGAGAAAATATTTGAATAACGGCTGAAAACTTCCCAAATTTGATGACAGGTATGAATATAAACATTCAAGAAGCTTGGGGCACCTGGGTGGTGCAGTTGGTTAACTGGCCAACTCCCGGTTTCGGCTCAGGTCATGATCTCAGGTTCTTGAGATCAAGCCCTGTGTCAGGCTCTATGCTCAGCATGCAGTCTGCTTCAGATTCTCTCTTCCTCTGCCACTTCCATTCATGCTCTCCCTCCTCTCTTTCATATATAAATAAATAAATGTTAAAAAAAAAACCTCAACAGTGGCTGCACCAGCTTGCATTCCCACCAACAGTGGCTCAATGGACTCAAGTCACATGAACTCAAAGACCCACACCAAGATACATTACTTTCAAAAGCCAAAGATAAAGAGAAAATCTTGAAAGTATCAAGAGAGAAGCAAACCATCACATACAAGGGATTCTCAATAGATTGTCAGATTTTCATCAGAAACTATGGAGTCCAGAGGCAGTAGGCTGATATACTCAGTGTTAAAAGGAAGAAAAGAAACCAAAATAAGCAGTCAACCAAGAATCCTAACAACAAAACTGGATTAAGACATTCAAACTGGAAATTAAGAGATTCCCGGATAAACAAAAGCTGAGGCAGTCTGCGACCACCAGACCTGCCCTACAGGCAGCAGTCTTGCAAGGTTGAAATGAAAGGGCACTGGACAGTACCAGGAAGCCACATGAATAAATAAGGGCCTCAGTAAAGGTAAACACATGAACCATTATAAAAGCCAGTATTATTTTACCTTTGGTTTCATACCCACATTTTGTTTTCTACATAATTTAAGCAACTAATACATTTAAAATAATTACTGGTTTATGGTTTTTGGTTCGGGGCACAGAATGTATAAAGATGTGATTCTGTGACAGCAACACTTGCACCTAGGGAACCACTGATCTTCTTCCTGTCTCTATACTTTTGCCTTTACCAGAAATTTCCAGTAAAGTTATAGATTATATAGTCTTCTTGAACTGGTTTGTCTCTCTGAGCGTGACTTACTTTTCAGATTTTTGCATGGTGAGGCATGTACCAGTACTTCTTTCTATTTTACTGCTAAGTAGTATTCCATTATATGGATATAGCACAATTATTTATCCACTTACCACTTAATGTACATTTTACTTGGTGTGTGTTAGTGTAGCACTGTGATTTTAATTTGTCTTTCCTCTGACAATGCGGAAAAACTTTTTCATGAATTTGTCACATTCATATAACTTCTTTAATAAAGATCTTCTATTTTTTTATTAGGGTGTCGGGCTTATTTTTGAGTTTTAAAAATTATTTATACATTACAGACTCAAGCCCCTTATATATATATTTATTTATATCTATCTATCTATCTCTGAATACATTCTGCCATTTGCTATACTGTTTCATAACTTTCTCAGTGGTATCTTTTGAAGAGCAAAAGTTTGCCACGTTTTAAATTCTGTAATGAAAATTTAAAATATGCTTCTAAAGACTAGGGAATAAAAGATATTTGCAACGTAATACTACAATTAAAAAAACAGAATTCAAACTATATTCTCAGTATGACTCTATGTAAGGTTTATATATGCTACATGTATGTATCTCCATAAATATACACACACATATACTTAGAAGGGAATACATCAAAATGCGAAAAAGTGCTTACTGAAGGGTTTGTGGGATTACAGGTAATTTTTATTCTTTTCCTTTTTAAACCTTTTTCAGATTCTTCCCAGTGGCAAGTCAGCACTCTCTGAAAATGACCTGAATACATTTCTTAAAGATCAAACCAGTTCATCATCAGCTACACTCAGGACTTCAGAAATGATCAAGGTCAAATAACATCTGAAGGTAATCAAGATACGAATACTATATTTATCAAAAGAAAAAATACAAGGTATGATTCTCGTTTTAAAACAAAAGCTAGACACATGCACCTCCTAAACATCCCTGTCCCAACAGAGTTTGATGGAAACAAACTATAATAACGATGGAAGGTTCTTTCTACTGCTCAATTCAGTAGCCACGAGCCACCGTACGGCAATGGCTGGTGGCTCTAGAACAGTGGCACTGAACATGCCTGAGAAACTGAAATTTCAATTAAAGTAAGCACACATGGCCAGTGGCTACCACACTGGTCAGCACAACTTTAGGGGGGAAAAACCAACCAGATTCATGTCTTTACTGCCCATTCTCCTCCTCCTTCCAGTCATTCAGTAATTTACTGATATTCTATAATCTCTCATCTCTCCCTAAACATCTATCAAATCATAGCTTAAAAAAGATCATACATTATTCCACTAATGGGTATTTACCCAAGGGAAATGAAAACACTACTTCAAAAAGATATATGAACCCCTATACTTACGGCAGCATTATTTACAATGACGATTTCCTTCATTTATATACACAGAGAGATGGGCAGGGGGAGGGAGAGAGGGAGAGAGTAAGTATTACTTGGCCCATAAAAAAGAATGAGATCTTGCCATCTGCAATAACATGCATGGACCTAGAAGGGATTATGCTAAGTAAAATAAGTCAGACAAAGCAAGGCGAATACCACTGATTTCTCTTATGTGTGGATTCTAAAAACCAAAACAAACAGCAGAAACAGACCCATATATATAGAGAACCGATGACTGCCAGAGGGAAGGGGTTTGAGGAGGGGGGGAGGGGCAAAATGGGCGAAGGGGAGGACGAGGTACAGGTTTCCAGTTATGGAATGAGTAAGTCCATATGAATGGTACAGCATATGAATTACAGTCAGTGGCACTCTAATAGTGTTATATGATGACGGATGGTAACTAGGTTTATGGTGAGCATCACATAAAGTAAAGAGCTGTCTGTCAAATCACTACGTTATACACTGGAAACTAACGTAACACTGTGTGTCAGCTATACTTCAATAAAAAAAAAAAGGGGGAAAAAAACTCATACATTAAGCTTCCTATACATTCTCTTGAGAATGAGAACAAATGAAGAGTACCAATTACTCCAAGATTTTCTGAGTAAAACCAGTTAGCCATTAAGATATAGCCCAAACCCTATTTACTTTTCCTCTACCTAATTCTTCAAGGGTAATCTGAGTTTCTGATCAGAGCTGCTCAGTCACCTGCCATCTTTTTTCTTTTTATCTTTGTTCTTCCTCTTGTGGAAAAGCAAAAAGAATGGAAAAGAAGTTGAAGTGACACAATTTTATCAACAACATCACTCTAGCAAGTAATAAATAGACTGTACTTGCTAAAGCAGGATTACGCTAGCAAAAACACAGACATATATAGTAAGTTATCCTGTCATTTAGAGGTATTAATGTCATGCTGACTTTGTTTCCACTTGCCCTGGTATAAAGCATGTTTTTTCTTTCACTTACATTACTAGGAAGCTAAAAAGTATACTTAGGGCTCACAAATAACTAACTTAACCTGGTGTTAATTCCTTCTGGTATCTTATGAGTTTATATAAAACTCATATATATAGGTATATATATATATTTTAACTGCTCAGAGTCAATCCTAATTTTTTGTACTCTAACACTTTTTAAAACTTTGTTCAAGATTAACAAAGTTATAAAACAGAATACAAATTGCTTAAACAGATATTCCATGAGGTTTCAGAATATCTTCTTACCTCTAATAATGTCCAAGTTAAAGGGGCCAAGATCCTTTTTATCTGAATTAAAAAAAAATCATTTGAAAAAATAGAAACAATATCATTTTTAAACAGTGTGATTGTATTATGCTTCTCCAAACACAAGATTCAAAATTAAGATCAGTCACATCTTTTATTAGCTATTTCCTATTCTGATTAGATTATCAGTGTTTTTCCTCTCATTTATGCTGTTTTAAATGATCTAACATACCTTGCATTTCCATGTTCTTGAAAATGTTGTGCTCTTAATTGGAATGCCACGAACAATGATGATGCTATTGCCAATAATTGGTTTCTCTCACTCTCTGTTAACTTGTGTCCTAAGGGAAATCAATCAATCAATCACATACATCATGTTAGTACCCAGTGCTTTTATCTTATAGAACTATTAGTCAGGCAAATCAATATTTTATCAAACATCTATTATGGAGCTAGTATCGTCCTAGGCACTGGGCATGCAGTGGGGAGGAGAGGGAGCAAGACTGCTCAAATAAGACAAAAAAAATCCAAGAGGGACCTATCAACTAGTTTTGGAAATTCAGTAATAGACCCCTCAATGGCCTGATTAAATCACACTCTTATAGGCTTTGAGAAGTTCCTGATTGTCTGCAACACTTAAGTAGTGATGAAAACATCTCATATGATCCCATAATTACCCTATATGAGGATTACAAAAATTTGGTCTCAGTCTTCTCAAAACATAGTCTGTAAGAGCAATTCTCGGTTCCGCCGCCCGCCCTCTTTCTCTTCAACGAGGTGGCGGAGCAGTTTGGTGGCGGCAGTCTTGCGGATTCACGCCAGCAGACGCAGAGATGCAGATCTTTGTGAAGACCCTCACAGGCAAGACCATCACCCTGAGGTCGAGCCCAGTGACACCACTGAGAATGTCAAAGCCAAAATCCAAGACCAGGAGGGCATCCCGCCTGACCAGCAGTGTCTGACTTTTGCGGGCAAACAGCTAGAAGATGGCTGTACTCTGTCAGACTATAATATCCAGAAAGAGTCCACCCTGCACTTGGTGCACTTGGTGCTTCGCCTCTGCATCATCGAGCCTTCCCTCTGCCAGCTGGCCCAGAAATACAACTGCGACAAGATGATCTGCCGCAAGTGTTATGCTCGCCTGCACCCCCGCGCTGTCAACTGCCGCAAGAAGAAGTGCAGACACACCAACAACCTGCGCCCCAAAAAGGTCAAATAAGGCCCCTCCACTGGCTCTTCCTTTGCCGCAGGGCGGCCTCCTGCCCGAGCCCCAAGGCCCAATAAAGTTTCCCTTTCACTGACTGGAGCAGTAAAAAAAAAAAAAAAAAAGAGCAATTCTCAAAGTGTAGCCTGGAGACTACTGGGAGTCCCCAAGAGCCTTTGGGGGCCTGTAAGGTCAAAACTACTTTCATAATCGAGCCCAAGTCAGGCATGGAGCCTGCTTAGGATTCTCCCTCTGCCCCTGCCCCTCCAACCCTCCCACGCTTGCATGCACATGCATGCACATGCTCTCTAAAAAAACAAACAAACAAAAAGTGATGATCTACTCCAACCTCCATGCAGTACGAATGTCTCTTCTACAGTACTGTTTGACAGACGGTTATCTAGGATCTATAAAACTCCAACACTTACAAACTGAAAACTCTTCCAAAGATTTCTAAATCATTTGACTGTTACTTCTCATACTGAGTCAGACTGTTTGTGACTTCCACCCAACTTTTCCAATCTGAAGTAACACCAAATAATTATATTCTTCTAATTCTCTTCTTTCTTACACTTGTACATTACCAATCTTGAAGGATATAGACTGCAATTAGACACCCTGCCCACCATAACTAATCTTATGATAATGGGTTCTAGCATGAGGCTACTCCTGATTTCAAATCAGAGGGGCCTTGATTCCTGTTGTCCTCTTATGGCCTGATGCCCATGACATGTCTACCCTGGCTCTGACTTTGGACTCCTTCTGAATGTTAATGTTCTTCATTACTATGCCCTCTGGTTTTTACCTTGCTGAAATCTCTGGCCCAGCTGGTCCTGATGTCTGGTAATACATGTTCCAAATGTTGTTCTAACTAGATTAGACTCAAATCCGGCCTACCCCTTTGGACCCGAAAGCTGGTCCAAGGCAGAAAGGGGCCCTGACTGAATCTTGGGTTTGAGATGAAGATCAGAGTGATCAATATATCGTATGCTCTACCAACTACAAAACTAACCCTTCTGTGCTAGACACAGTCAACAAATAAATACAAATCAGTGCCTAGAGCTCAACTGGGCCAAACTGATGACAGCTGCCTTATTCCTTATTAATACATCTCCAATTCTCCAGGCTAACCACCTACAGTTCCTTCAAAGTTCTTTACACAAGATGTATTTCTCATACCATCTCTAATAAGAATATGATTTTCATCATCATAATCACTTTCTTTTGCACACACAAAAAAATGGAAGGATAGTTTATTTTAGTTCTTTTCTAACAACGGTAACATTTACAAATTGTGAAATAAAAGACATTAAAATGTAAAGGGCTTTGTCTAGTATCAGAACCATGCGGAGGTAGTCTGTGACTAGGGGTTATATAATCATACTGTGGCTCAATATTATATGCTTATAGCATATAATAGCATATATTAAAAAACTTATTTTAGTTTTTAAAAAATATATCTGCTATTTTTGTAGGTTCCAAGGTATAATATACAGTAATTTTTTAAAATTACAAAAAGTCCAAATGTGAAATTTGAACAAGTAATTTGCAATTGACATATGAAATCTAAAAAAAAAATCCACGTTTTAGCCATTTAATGGACACTGACCACACAATAATAATTTAAAAAGAAAACTAATTTTTTTTTCACAACAGCTTTCAATTTCAAGTTTATGGACCAATTAAAATTTTTTAAAAATGCTAAATTAGGGCTAAGCATTTTGCAAGAGACACAACATTTTACATAACACTATCATTAGTTTTTTTTTTTTTTTTTTAAAGATTTTATTTATTTATTTGACAGAGAGAGAGACAGCGAGAGAGGGAACACAAGCGGGGGAGTGGCAGAGGGAGAAGCAGGCTCCCCGCAGAGCAGGGAGCCCGATGTGGGACTCGATCCCAGAACCCTGGGATCATGACCTGAGCCGAAGGCAGTCGCTTAACCGACTGAGCCACCCAGGCGCCCCATTAGTTTTCATTAGAAATCTTTTTGAGGGACTCTTGGGTGGCTCAGTCGGTTAAGCACTGGACTCCTGATTTCGGCTCAGGTCGTGATCTCAGAGTCCTGAGATCAAGCTCCATGCTGGGCAGAGACTGCTTAGGATTCTCTTCCTCTCCCTCTCCCCCTCCTGCTGCCCCACCCAGCCCTCCTACCCCCATTCACGTGCATATGCACTCTCTCAAAAAAAAAAAAAAAAAAATCTTTTTAGATCACTTCAGGGGTGCCTGGATACGCATCTGCCTTCAGCTCAGGTCATGATCTCAGAGTTCTGGACTCGAGCCCTGTGTTGGCCTCCCTGCTCAGCAGGGAGTCTGCTTCTCCCTCTCCTTCTGCCCCGCCCCCATGCTCATTCTCGCTATCTAATAAATAAAATCATTTAAAAAAGATCACTTCAATCCCTAGGTAGTAACTAGACTCCTCAATTTTATTCCAATTGTTTTTGTGTTTTATGTCTTATAATTAGTCTTTATCTGGGATTCATTTTTGTATTTGGCATAATTTAAGGGGCTAAGATTTCATAAAAAGTAAGAGGCAAAATTCCCACATATACTAATTTCTGTTTATGAGCTCCCTATTCCATTACACTGACATATTTATTCATTTTTCTGTTTTCTGTTTTCAAGTACTTCCATTCTCACACTTTACATCATATTGTTTAGAGAGGCTCAGCAATACATTTTAATACACAAAAGGCCAATTTTTATCATTTTTCATAATTTTCTTGGCTATTTTCAGAAATTTATGAATACATATAAACTTTTTAATCACTTAAGGTAGTGGACCTTGTGAATCTAACTGACCGTACATAAAATCTGTGTATCAGTTTGGGAAAGATTGGCACTCCTATCCTTTTGAGTCCCCAAACAATAACTCCTATGTTTTTCCATCTCTTCGCGTCTTACTTCTTTATCCTCGACAAGATTTTACAGTTTACAGAATCATATAGGTTCTATGTCTTCCCTATTAAATTTCTCCCCACCATTTTACAAGATACTACAGTTAATATGAACAGGGTTGGCTTTTTTCCATTTTCATTTCAAGTTGGCTCTTACTAACAAAAAGAAGAGACACTAACTTTGCATGCTTACCTTGTTGAATTCAGCCACCTTGCCAAATGTGCTTTTAGTAAGCCTAGAAATTTTTAGTAGTATCTTCTGGGTTTTCTAGGGACAAAATTATAAATAGAAGAAGAGAAAATGTTTTCTTTTTAAAATATTTAAATGAGCTTTTTTTCTTTTTTTGGACTTTTTGATCCTCTAAAACAATGATTGATAATAATGGTCCTTTTATAGAATTCATTTGTTCCTGACTTTAAGGGAAATTTTCATAGCATTTCCTTTAAAATTATGTTTGTTATTCGTTTTCAGTAAGTAGGTTTTTAATCAAATTTAGTTTAATTTTATTTCTGATTTCAGAGTGTTTTAATTAGAAAAGGCAACTGAATTTTTACAAACACCTGTTTAGCATTTTTTTTTTTTTCTGGTAAGCCATCAGTTTTTATGTTTTTCTAATTGCAATGGATACCATTAACAAGCTTAGGGTTTTTTTAGCTTTGAGGTACCACTTGCATACAAAATGGGCCCATTTAAGTGTGCAATTCAAGAGATATGACAAATGGGTATGTCCATATAAAACATGACAACCGTCTATTTAGAATTTTCCACTACTCCAAAATGCTCCCTTGCATCTCTCCAATCAAGACCTCTACCCTGCTTTCCCTCCCTGGCCTCAAGCAACTAAATTCTTTTCTGATTTCATATAAATGGAACCAGATAGTACTCTTTTGTGTCTGTCTTCTTTTGCACATAGTATTTTTGAGATTCACCAGTGTTTCTGAACGAATCAGCAGTTTCTAACATTTGAACGTTAGGAAGTATTCTTTGGCATGAATATACTGCAATCTGTGTAGCCACACACTCCCTGAGGGCTTTCAAAGTAAGTGGGAAGGTGTGATTTGGTTCTAAAGATGAACTCTGGCTACTGAGTGAAGATGAACTGGAAAGTGCAAAGGTGGGAGGAAGGAGGTCCGTGAGAAGGCTGTTCAGAGTCCAGGCAAGAGGGCAGCAGCTCAGGCCGGGGTGGTGTGCTAGTCTGGCACTGAATGGAGACATGCCTGCATTCAATTCCCAGCTTTACCTGAA